GTATGTATGGATCACTTGGGTTGTTACCAACATCTGGTGAAAATTTCATGTCATTAGCACCTCTAGTAATATATTTACTGAGAAAAATGGTGACGTGTTCCATACTTATTTTACCCGCTGTATTTCTTGCTAATCTTTAGTTCACTACTTGTATGGTCAGTAAGCTCCAAGTATATCTTTTATCACCCTTAAGAGTATTTTTTTTCCATTTAGGGTAAAATGTCCAACCAGCGGTAATCTTAGATGGCAAGTTGTGTTATTGGGCCTACCTTAACATGTCCTGCTACGCTGAATATGACTCCATTAGTCAATTTGAGCACTGTGGGTGGGTCCTAAACGAGGTCCCGGGGTTTTGGTATTTCTCCCCTCTTCATATGTAGATCTAATTCTTATTAGATCTACTCTTTAGCCTTCCATTCAATCTCACCTGGCTTAATTCAGTGTCACCCTAACTATTGATTAACTTCACGGACTATCTGACTACTCTGGGTAAGTCCAGCTTTACCTTTAGGGTTTTGGGGAGTCCTTTCTCCTTGTCTCTTATTCTCAAATGATTCCCCCTTGTTCACTCTATCTACAGCCCACTCTTTCCACTTTGTGGATCATTCTTGTCTATTATAGTCAGAGATGACCTACTCTTAAGCTTATGAAGTGGGACCTGTCTTAGTCTTCTGTGATCATGTCCTGGATACGGATGCTACTCCTCATCATAGGGATGTCTTGGGCATGTCAGTGGGTTGACTCGTGTATCTTCTGGCTGGAGTCTCTTCCCCATTCAGTTTGAGGATGTGTTAGAGCCCTGATGCATTGAGGCCCCTGTGGTTAGGGTTGGCTGTAATATTTATTCTTGAGCTATTCTTCACATGAACCCCTCTCCTCTTCTTATTGCTTTAATTGCCGATACTATTGTCTCATTGTTGCCTCTTTCTTCAAGCCGTAATAAATCTGATGGTCTCACAATCATCTAGTACACCTTCCCTAGTTTTTTTTAAATTGATTCTCTTCTATTGCATCCATCTCGTCTCCCTCCTTGGGTTGTTACAGCAAGTCACATCTCCTATTGTCTCTATCTTTCATAACACATTTTCCACACCAAACTACAACCTTGTCTGTTTTGATTCTACCCATATCTAATTTCCCTCTGGGATCAATGTTGTATTTGTGAATTGAACTGAATATACCTCTTTGCTGGTCCTCCTCGTGGTCTTCCACATTATGACTATCCTTAGCAGTGGCGGCTGGTCAATAGAAGGCGCTAGGTCCATGTGGTTCATGAGACATTTTGCTAAAAGACATGAGTCTAAACTTCATGGTTTATCTACGCCTGCATCTGTGAAAAAAAAAAAAAAACAGGCCAGGTTTGAGTTTTTGGGCATTTTATTTGTAAAAACCGACACATCCGGTAAAAGTGCTTCAAGTTTACAGTTCACTTCTCTGCCAAAATTATCTATAAATAAATAAAAAGTTAATGTCAGTGTTTGCTATCTGTCCACAAAGAACCTGTTTTGTCACATAATACAAACAAAGCAGCTTTGAACATCATACGTGCTTCATTCAAACTAATAATAGTACAAATTTTATTCTTTCTTCTCAAGACGTAAAAGACAGTGATACCTGCTGAGCCACAGAAAACAAACCTGCAGGTTTCCAAACCCAGCAGAGGGAGGACAAAAGACTTAAAGTAGCAGAGTGACAAAACAAGACAAACAGAAAACAAGATGGGGTTGAATTAAAGAACGACACGGCAGGGAGCAACAAAACAACACATCTCCAAGTTCTTTAAGCTGAAAAGACGAGACTTTTGTCAAATTGTTGTTTCGCTTGTTTTTTAATGAAATWAAATCTAGTTTCTGTTGTTTCTTCTTGTTCTACTGTCTTTGAAGAGCTTGATGGTTGTTTTTGTGTGTCAGGTCTGTGTCTGATGGCTGTCGTGGTGATGTATCTGATGTGGGTCCAGGTCCTGGACACTCTGGAGCAGTTTGCCCTCCATCACAGGGCCTCTGTATGCCCATCCTACCACCTCAGTGTTCAGCACGGTCCGTCCTTYCTCCTGGCTCCAGTAGGGGTCTTCCTCTCTCTGCTGGCCGGTCTCCTCTTCATGCTTGTGGGCCAAAGCAGTCAGGCGATGGAGGTGGATCAAGCAGAGAAAATCCCTGAACCTTCAACAACCGAACTGTGATAACAGTTGATCTGTTCAACATCTGAAGGAACAGGTGTCACAAGGACGATGCACAGAAGTTGGGTTTGTTTATCAAAAGTAAACCGGTAGATGAGAAATATGTGCTCACTTCAAATCCAGGCCCAGCTATGTTAGGCTACATTCACACTGCATGTTAATGCAACCAAAATTCATCTTTTTTTGCTCTTTTGTAACCTATTGACGAAATTTATTGGGGTTTGTTTACTTACTGATTTTTAAAAGCGCCACACATTATGTAGTTTTTCTTAGGTGAAACATGATATATTTTTTATAAACTATTGTGTGAATATTTTCTGATTTAAAATGATTTTATGTACAAACTGGTCTGGATGGCTAGACAACATGGTCACTCGGAGCAGGAGTTACATTAGTTAGATACATGCCTGAAAACATTTACAACACAAATGTTTTACATTAGAACTCAGTTTTCTCTGTTGTCGAAGGTTTCTGGTCACATGATGGGGAGTACCTCCATCGRTGTGACAGCTTGTCTCTAGGGAGTGGCCAGAACCTAAAGGAGTTAAGATGCTGAAACTTCCTGCCTGGGTCAATCCATGACTGATTAAATAGCTGAGGCTATTAGCCTAGCTGTAGTCTGTATGGCTTAACATTCAAGTCTTAATTCTGTATTTGTTGCCTTGTCCTTTACACACATCTGAGTAACTGAATGATATATTTTACACTATGTTGGATTTTTTTATGACAGTCTCAACATGACAACTCCCAATTTTTTGTTCAAATCTGACTCAGCTCTTTTCAGTGTGTGGTACTAAATCTGATACATATTGGTTTTTTAAAGCATCCTCGGTCCGAACAATCGTGTCACATTTCATTAGACTTTGTCAGTGAGATGTGGTTACACGGATCGATACACGTATTTGGAATATTACCAACCTTGCACAGTTTAAATCAGAACTCTGCACGCCTTCAGCCACTGAACAGAAGCCCAGTTGCTTAGTCTTTGTTCTTTTAATTATCCATGTCCTGGATGACTGAGAATCCACGAACCGGACCGTAACGAATTTAAAGTTATTTAGTTCAACTTCCAGCATGTCGCTTCTCTCCCATACATCCTGCACCGGAGCATCCAGTCACAGGCTGGTTCAGATATAAACAGGTCATAATCTGCTCTGACTGAACAACTTCAGAACTGACCTGTAGCATCCATGTTTACATCTGTAAACAGTAAGCTGAATGTGAGGTCGCATCAGGGCCGTGGAGAGTTCACATTGGAGTCCACATTTAAATTATGTGAATGCCACACAAGAATGAGCAAAACATTGGAAATGAGTATCAAGTTAACGTGAGGTTTGAACGTAGCCCTGGGCACCTTCTGGCTATGTGATTTCTGAAGGTAATAAGATGGAAGTGGGGGGGKTGGAGCCAGCCCACCCCTGGTGCACCTCTGTCTCTGGAAGCGAGGTGGTAACAGAGGCAAAACTGCCATGTGAAAACTTAAGATGTCATCACATTGATGCACAGAACCAGCTTGTTTGTGTGACCAGATGAGCACAGGGTTAAACATCATGTAGGGATTGTTACCAACACCAGAGGTTCTCAAACTGGGGTCCCAGGACCCCAAGGGGTCCGTGAGAGGTATCTTGGGGGTCCTCAAAAAATTTCACTAAATTGTTAATTTGGTTTTTATTTTTAAAAATGCATGGAGAACAATGAACTAATAAAACAAACATAATAGACTAAATCAAAATATAAATGTGAGCCATCACATTGAAATGAGGATTAAGTCCAAAAGTGGGGTGTGGAGAAATACAGGTAAAGGGTTTTGATTTAACTATTTGCAAGATTTGCATTATGTCAAAATATAATGAATTAATGCCTTATCAATGAATCATTTGAATGAACTGTCTGAAATACAATCCTAAAAAATTTTTTGAAGCATTTTTTTTGAGCAGTAGCAACAAAAAACATGATTTTGAACTTTTCCCTGTGAGCTAACAATGATTTTGTTTCTTTCCAACTGGGAAATCTTAATAAACAAATTATATTTGAGGTTTATTCTTTATATTAAAATAAAAAAAATACTCAATAAATTTACATAATATTAGGATTCAGACCAAACATCATAACCATCAAGACAAATTAAGTCAWATCTCTGGATAAGCTGATGATATCAGAATGATCCAGGTATCAAAATTTAGCTTTTAAAGCAGGAATCTGAAAATGTAATTAGGTCATTTTGACCAAATTTGACTTAATCCTCATGTCGATATGATGGGTCACATATTCCCATCGGATTTAGGGGTTGAAATGGCAATTAATTATCTTTTAAAACAGCATGGGTTTTATGAGGGGGTCCCTGGAATTTGTTTCACCATTGTAAGGGGTCCCCAGAACCAAAAGGTTTGAGAACCCCTGACCTACACCTTCTCAGAACTAAAGTTATGAGGAAAATCACAAGTTCTCTGTGTGAGGAATAAACACTTCTCTGTGTAAATATGAGAATAACTCACAATAAGTGGATGTACTCAGGAATTTAAGTTGATCTAAAGTAAATGATTCTTATTTACAGAATCAAATGAATTACTAATGTACAGCTTATTGTGAACAATCAATATTTTTGTGAGTTAAAACTTCAACAAAACTCGTGTGGGTCTGCACTAATTTGTCGATGTAACAACTCTAACAGGAACAGCAAAACTTCAGGTTTAAGGTCTTAATAACCAGATGTTTGCAGGTACATAAAACTAATTTGGCAAGGTTTAAGATTAAGAAAAAAAAGAATAATATTTGCCCTAATATTTAGCTTATTAATGTGTGAAAAAACCAGAATGAACACTTTGGATCTCTGCTGACGCCTCAGCCCAACTCCGGTACATTTGTCAAAACATTCAGCTTTTACCTGTTGGTGTTTTGACCATCAGGTTAAGCGTGAAGGAAGRCTTCATCCAGGTTAGTAGGGAGGCCAGGTCAGGTCTCTTACTGCCAGTAAAAACTCCCAGGTTTTGCTTTACAGCGTCTCCGGACGTCTTATTCTGTTCGAAGGAGGGAGCTAAGATCCGTTTTGGGTTTTTCTTTCAAAATAAAATACATCTCATTCGAAGTTTTAAAGATAACAGAGCTTCAAAGCTGGTTGTTGGGATCACAACTGAAGGTGTCGTGAGCCGATAGGCAAAGACTTGCTCGTTGGCAAAAGAGTCATATCAGTGCCAAATGTCGATTTTCCTGCGAAGGATTAACAGCTCAGGGAGACGAAAAAATGATGTTTCTCGTCTCTTTTCTCTTCTCTCTGTCGAGGGCTTGGTTCCAGGATTAATTTCTAAAGAGAAAGAGCTGGGAACGTGACCTCGACGTTTTGGATTAGTTACAGGCAGAATGAAAAGTTTAGTCTAGGATATTTGCCATAGCTGAATAACATTTTGCACCTGCTCAGAAAAACTGTTTAAAACCTTGACAGGGTTACACCGAATAAAATGAACTAAATTTCAATGAAATATAAGAGAATTATTT